AAAAAAAAAAAAAAGCAGGCAGAGGGAGGTGAGGGAAAGAGGATGTTGAATTTTAAAATCTTGGTCATGAAAGGGGCGCCTGGTGGCTCAGTCAGTTGAGCGTCCAACTTCTGCTCAGGTCATGATCTCGCTGTTGACGAGTTCGAGCCCCACACTGGGCTCTGTGCTGATGGCTCGGAGCCTGGAGCCTGCCTCGGTATCTGTGTCTCCCTCTGCCTCTGCCCCTCCCCCGCTCATGCTCTGTCTCTCTCTGTCTCAAAAAGAAACATTTAAAAAAAAATAAATCTTAGTCATGAAAGATTCAGAGCATAACATTTATATCTCAAGAAATTCAGAAGCATGTGAAATAAAGTAAGAGAAGTTTTTCCAGGCCCAGGGTTGCGAGGACAGCAGGGAAACGTATGGGGGCCCTTCCCCCTGCCACCCTCAGTTTCTGGTCCCTTCCCAAGAATGGGAATGACAGTGGAATCCCATAAAGGTTCACTGAGGGCCCAAGAGCAGAGAAGGCCATAAGTGGATGTACCAGGGGATCATGAAGCTCAAGTTTTTGGGCCCCTGACTTCCAAGGTCCTGTGCCTGATTTTATAGTAGTAATTTTTTTTTTTTAATTTTCATGAGAAGGCCCCCAGAACTGCATAAGTTCCAGGATCTTCCCCTGAAGATCCCTGAACTTCACTCCTGAGCAGAGCCTGGGAAAGCAGCAGACTTCCAAGGACCCCAGCCTGCCATGCCAAGAAGCCCAGGCAGCCTATTTGAGGATAAAACCACAAGGAGCAGTGATTCATCCTCACTGAGGGCCCAAGCAACCCACCCGCTGACTGCAGCTGTAGAGTGATCCCAGGCAAGACCTGCAGAAGAACTGCCCTACCCGGCCACATAGCTGACCCACAGAAGCCAGAGCAAACAAAACAATGGTTGTTACAAGCCACAAAGCTTGAGAGTGGTTGATTACACAGAAACAGATAACTGATATAGTGAATTTGGACAAAACATTGGTGGGAAAAAGAAATAAATAATATAATCACTTCTAGAGCATGAGCCTTCTATTTTTAAAGGTGTGCATTCTGGGTATCTGCAGAGAAAATATCTGGAAGATCACGTAAGAGACTGACCAGGGGTTAGAGATGGGAGCTGTGGGGGAAGTAAGCACACTCCCAATAGGTTTAGGTGTTTACAAATGTGCATTACATTTAAATAAAAGGAGATTCACTGAGTACTTGGCTATGTACCAGGCACTATGCTAGGTGTTAGGGTCCAAAAATGAGCTAGACACCATTCCTCCCTTCAGGAAGCTCCAAGCCTGAGTGTGATGACATGCAAACAGACCAGTGGAGTCATGCAGACACTGTGATAGTGATTGGGGGGGGGGGGGGGGGGGGCGGCGGGAGGGGCAAAAGAAGCACATGACTGATGCTATGGGACAGAGCGGGAAATGAAAACACTGAACACAGGACAGACTGAAATAGTCCACAGGGGAGCCTTAAAAATGACTAGGTCCTGATTGAGCAAACTGGGAGAGGGCCTGAGAGTTGGGTGGTGGTCTGGGGGAGGCACTTCCCTATCTGGGCTTTGGATCTTCATTCCAAAATGAGGGAATCAAGCTAAATTATCTTAGGGCCACTTCTAGTTCTGAAGCTCTACACCTTCACCTTCTCTCTCTCTCTCTGCACAGGTGGCATACTTCTCACACAGCACAAATTCCAAAACTAACCCCATATTTAGGGGGTGCTCAATATGTGGGCAGAGCTAAAAATATGAGTTTCTTAATCAGACATCTGCAGGCAAATACTATTTTGTGTTTCTGTGATTCAGATGCCATATGTGTGAATTTCTGATGTCAGGTGTAGGCTAGGAAACGTTTTTCCTCTACCCATTTTAAGTTCTAAGTCCATAACAAAAGACAGATTAACAAGAGAAAAACAAAGAGAACTTTATTAACATGTGTATGTGGGAGGAACTCAGGGCTGAGTAACTCAAAGAGTGGCTTAGAACTCAGGCTTATGTAGCATCTTCAACAAAGAGAAATGGCAGGACACAGGAAAATGGCTTCAGGCTTCCAAGGGTGGCAAACTGTACGAAGATAAATAAATGAAGAGTAACTAACAGAGTAAGGATTCCTCAGGTGCCGTCTCTGGGCTGACAAGAGTCTAAAGTAAAAGAAAACTTATATCCTATCTTAAGGCAAAAAAGGGGAAGGTATAGAGAACTTTTCCTGATTTTGTGGTTTCTTAATT